TTTGGGTGAAATAAATGATGGTTCTGTTTCAATTGATATACCTGAGGATCTATTGTAACACACGAATGGTGACCCCGTGGCTGCTGTTGTGGAAAGCATTTTCCCAGAGTATGTTTCGTCTACGCATGACATTAGTTGTTTGCGCGATCGTGCGATATTAGCGCCAACCCTTGTTTACGCGTTTGTTTTCCACGTAAACAAGCATCACAAGCATTATTCTGAACAGACTTCACCAATGTTTTATTCAAACAATTAATTAAACGCATAACCTTCAATGAAACGCACTCGCCACTGCAAGTGCCTGAGCATGATCAAGACTCCGAATGTAGATAAGAATAAAGTGACAAATTTACGCTTACCTTTACTTTTTCCATTAACTTAAAGACATCTACTTTTAGGAAGATAAACAAAAGTGTAAAAACCAAGCATCATTTATTGTTCTGTCTTAATACTTGTGCCAGTCAAAGTTTGCAATTCAATTCGAGACAGAGAGTATATTTTTGAGAAATGGTCCTCAATAAGACCGAAACTTACTCTATTTACTTAAATAGGAGTCTAACTTTTTTAACCTTAAATAAGACTACTTTTAACCGGCCTACCATTTTTACCCCTGCTGCCTTTGAACGGCTTAGAAGATCAGATCTGAAACCTCAACTTCTTCATAACAGCACACAGAAGCTCGGACACTACACGTACTCCGATTGGGGCAATGAGGTGAAGGATTGTGACGGTGAAGGCGGTTAAGAGTCACTGGCGGAGTCAGCGGCAGCGGACCGATCCCTGCTACGTGTGGTTTCTTCTACTCTTCTTTCGATCTTCCTTCAGTCCTTCTCCTGCTCTGCTTATCCTCATCTCCTTTCTTCTCTAGCTATCTTCTTTTTTCCTCCCTTTTCTTTTGATTCTTCGTTACATATTTACATTACGGCGAGGTAATGGTTCTTCTTTTAATAAATCTTCTTCTTTCATTTTTAATTGTTCTTCATTCATTATTTTGAATTTCTAATTTAGTTGTGGCAAAGCGTCACAATGGAAAGTTGGTGTCTTCGAAAATTTGTAGTTTGCTGAGAACAAAAAATGTTTCAAAATTATTATGATTTTGATTAATTTTAGAGGCCGTTTGGACACCCTCATTTTCGGCTTATCAGGCTTATCAGCCAACTTTTTTACCAAACACGTAAATTTTGCTTTCGCGCGCTGAATTGTGTAATAAGCCGAAAAAGTAAGGTTGGGGTTACTTTTCTGGCTGTATTGGCTGAAGTTACTGTAGATGACTATTTTAGCTATTTTTACATATAATTTTTTCTTTATTTTATTAATAAAATATATTTTAAAATTTTTTTTTTCTTGTATCAGCAGAATCAGCCAATGCAGCCACTTCAGTCAGAACTTCATAAATTTTAGCAGAATCAGCCAGAACAGCCAATTTTCGTTATGCCAAACGGGCTCTTAATGATTTACTCTTATCATCTTATGGCGACAAAGTCTCCTGATATGGCGACAAAGTCTCCTGTTATTATCACATTTCAATATTTATTCTCATATGCTTTTATCACTAAATTGGCTCTGCTAACCATTTAGTTGGTATTACAAATAGGCAAATAGCTGCTATGTCTTGGACTAATGTAGAGGGTGGTGTTCCATTTAATGTATGCCACTGAATTTTTGTTTTATACCAAAACTATTTGATAAAATGTATATGTGAAAAAAATCTCACGTTTTACATTTCCAGTTGAGAAAAATCATGGACGGCTTATTTAAAGTGCATGAACGAGTGAGCCGATAATGTCCAGACTACATTGATATTGTCACGATAATGACATTGTCACGACAATGTCATTTTCATTATGTCATTTTAATGACATTTTTATAATATTGACATCATCACTATATGAAATTGTGACATTTTTTTGACATTGTGACATTTTCATACATTTTGACAATATTTGAGGTATTCAGAGATTACTTATTTTGTTAACGTTTAACAAAATAACATTGACATTTGTCAAATAATGACATTAATTTGTAAACAATGACATCGTATTACATTGTCATACAATGACATTGATTTTTAAACATTGACATCGTATTACATTGTCATATAATGACATTGATTTTTATGCAATGACATCGTATTACATTGTGATATAATGACATTGACTTTTAACATGTATGATATTTTAACATTGTAACATTGTTTAATTTATAACACGTGACATTGTTTGTACAATTGTCATTTTTTTTATTTCAACAATGACATTGTGTAAAATATTGTTACGATCCTCACAATCAACTATGCAATGATTCACGAGTAATAGTAATGTTTGATAAGATGACAATGTTATGATATTATACAGAACACTTTACATTTTATAATATTTTTAAAAGAATATTTCTTGTACTTCTTCCAAAACTCCAGAAGCTCCTATTCCTGAAACAATAAAAACAGAGCCAAGACATCTCCCTCACCCAACGGTGCATTGAAGAGATGGGAGGTTCCCGCATCGGTTCTGGAGCTTAGTGGTGACATGGTATGCGTCCATGCGGGCATATATAGGACGTGCTAATGGAAGCCATTACGAGCTTGTCACACTCCGGCCGGCTCCATCCACTACACTACGGCAGCGAGGTGTGGCCTGGCGGCGGCCGCAACGTGCGGCGCAACAGCGAGTTACTCTAGCAGCGGCAATGTCATTTTATTGACAATGACATTGCCATTGGGACATTTTCTTTATCTTGTGACATTTTTATACATTGACATTGTCAAGATAACATTGACATTCTTATGTCATTGTCATTTGCATTTTTATAACATTGTCATTGACACTTTTATAAATTGTAACATTGCTAGTGAAAAGTTTGATCCCGCGGAGCTTTGTCACCCATAATGATAATTTTAGAGCCATAAATGATTAAATTGTGACACCAAATTTCAATAAAATTGACTTTATTTTAACATGACATTTTATTAAGACATTGTTTTCTGTTAAATGTCCCACACCGGAAAATTGAGAAACATTAGAGTGCTATATTAAGCTTCGGCCTACTCTTCCTAACAGGTTGACCTTTTAGGATGGAACCTCGAGTCTTAACATTTTCCCCTTTTATTAGAGTTGGACGATGTAATTTAATTGACTTCCAAAATAATGCAATAAAATCTAACAAAATAAAGATATTGATGAAATAAGTTACTGAATTCATCAAAATAGTAAATGAATTCACAAAAATGTATTACAAACTAGAAAATCAAAAGTTAGAATTATCAAATTGAAAAGTAAAACAAGATCGAAAAGTTACGAAAATCCAGGGAAGATATGTTGCTGAACGTACGCTAAAGAAGAAGAAGAGAAAGAAAGAAAAGAAAAAGAGAAAGACTTGTGCCGGTGACTGATCCGCCGATTACTCCGACGACAAGATGTGGTAGACCGGAATTAAACTCAAAACCGATTTTGGTACACCAACGAGAAAAATTACGTTGTTGATAATTAATCCAGTCACCAAGGGCGTCATTGTTGTTGATTGTGGGCGAGGTGAACGATGATGCGTGCCTGCGTATATTTGGAGCAATATATGCGGGGAACCGAATTTCAAAATTGTGCGGTTGATGATTAGGAGGAAAAGGGTCAAAAATTGTTGGTGTTGGAGATGGGTGTTTGGTAGCTTTGAGGAAGATGAAGAATCTGGTTGGTTGTGTTGCAGTGGAGGTATTGCGGCACGGCACCCGCAATGTGAGATCTGGGGCTGAGGCTATTTTTGTCCGAGACGGAAAAAGTACTCCAATTTGGGCTTTAAAAAACTTGAACTCCTATTTGGGTTCCATACCAATGTTTTGATCCTATTTATGTCTTTCTTCCTATATTTTTTATGAGTAGGACGTTTTTAATGTTTATGAAAAAATCCAAAATAAAGGAATAGAAAAAAACCAATAATTACGGACGAAATAACTAAATTTATTGAATATAATTAGCTCTCCATCATACATGAGTACAAGGCTATAAATATACTTTGGCTATGTTTGACACAACGAGCTGTAGCTGGAGACTAATGTCCGAATTAAAGACTATTATCTAGATCATAAACTATTGTCTGGGACTGAATTTTGAAGTGCTGAATCTGAATTGCTAGCTGAATGAATAAAGTAGATTCGTTTGTCATAAAGAATTGAGAGAGTGCCTAGTTACTATGATTTTTATCACAATGATTTTTATATTTTAATTAATATTCAGATTCGTTTGGCATAAATATTATCACAATGATTTTTATATTTTAATTAATATTCAGATTGTAGTTTATCACGAAGCATATTATATATATCCTCCAAAAACCCATCCAGAAATACACAAAATTATATACGAGTGACATTAGAAAATTCAAGAACTAGTGTTTAATTTGTTTGCAAGTTGCAACTATGTTTCCTTTTCTTTTTGCATTTGCAGAAAAAACTACGGATACACCCACCATATGAAGGGCAGTGGGCAACTGCTCCACAATTGCAGCACCTTCCGATTCTTCTTCATATATTCATACTAGTCCTTCCTTCTCTTTATCAGCTTTTACCTTTTTCTTTCTCTTGCTGCGCAACTGTCAAACTACCACAGTCGTGCTCCGCAAACATTCTTTACTGCAAGTATAATTTAATCGAGCTGAACTGGAACGCTAGCTTTGCCAACGTTTTAATTCAGTCACTTTTTTTCAAGTTCAGCTCCCTTTAGCCTTTCAGCCAAACACAACTATTTCTATAATTATTGGCTGAATAATTATTGGCTGGACAAACATAGTATTTTATGAGATTTTTAATAACCGTTAGCTTTTAGTGATTGAAAAGATCTTAAAAAGAAAAGGGTGCCTGTTTGGTAAAAAGCTGACTGTTTGATTTAGCTCTGTTTGGTATACAATCTGTTAATACTGATTAATACTAAAAACTACTGACTTATCTGAGATGCTACTGATTACTGTAGCATCTTAAAAAAGATCTTTTATTTTTACAAAAGTTCTTAAAAATTGGCATGTCAAACACACAGCTAGAAGCCTTTAAAACTTTTTGAATATTACAAAAGTTAGAAGGCAGAGATTTATGCCGACAAACATATAACAATCCATTATTCCTTTTATGACATTTCAACAACATTTCAAGAAGACTTACAAAAAAAAACACTTATTCCTTTTTTTTGAAGAAGACTTACAAACAACACTTCCCCTGGAAAGTCAAATCATACTCCGTCCGTGATGGTGATCGACCATTTCAATCAATATTCAGTACTGTAACATCGCATCAAGAGAGGCCATGATGGGCTGATTCAACAGACACGTCCACAAATGATTAGTCATGAAACCATCAAGCCCAGATTCATGAATAATCTCAGCAGACGGGAAGTCAAAGATTCCGCCATAGCTGCTGCTCAGGCTGAGCATTCTGGTCAAAGATGAAAGTCTGTGGTCAAGCTCCATCACCTCAGCTCTAAGAACAGAATTCTCTGCCTCCACGTTAAGGTAATGTTGTGTGGCGAGATTGATGTTTTTAAGGAAGTGGGTGTTTTCGTTCCTCAGCTGCCTGGCCTGCGCTATCAGATCATCCATATGCTTCTGCTTCCTCATCCTCGACCTCTTCGCTGATTCTCTGTTCGACTCCATTCTCTTCCTCTTCCTTTCTTTCATCATCTCCTCCAAGTCCCCGCCTTCACACCCTGAGATCCGGTTCATCTGTATGCTTCCCGTTGAATTCCCACTTGAAGAATCCATTTTTCTTCTTCTTCTTTAATTTTATTTAGTTATTTACAATAGAACTAGATTCAAAGTTCAAACCTATTTTTTTAATTATCTTTCAAGAAAAAGCTTAGTTTGGGTTCTTGGGTTGGGTCTAGAATTGTTTATGAGAAGACATAAAACCAGTAGAGGAAGACGACTGAAAAAGATTGAACAAGATGGGTCCTTCTTCTGAGTGAGGAACTGATTATAAATCCGGAACGGAGGATTTCGCTAAGAACAGGAGACATGAATCTTGAACATTAAGAACACAAGAATAATAGTAGTAATAATAGTAACAGTAGTATATAGCATTAATATAAAAACCCAGATAACTGCAGAGTAAAGAAAACCAGAGAGCCTCTTTTGCGAGATTGTCTGGACAGGAGAAAAACAGAGTATATCAGTGAAGAAAAACAGGGCAAGGTCAGAGCATCTGGGTTTTGAAAAAGAAATAGAAGAATGAGGTTATATGGACAGATTAGTACCAATAGTTATAATAGTAATAGTTATAAATATAATAGCTTACCTAAGATCTTTACGGGAGAAGGTGATGTGAGAGATGGAAGAGGTTTTACAAGAGGAGGGACAGTGTATTTATAACAGGAAAAAAAGAGCAGGACGTTTCTACTGTTCACTTTTTTAAAACAGAGACACGCTCACACGCAGAATGGTGGGCACTGGGAAAAAAGCAGCAAATTCAAAAAAAAAAAAAAAAACTCCGTAGATGAAAAGAAAAGAGCAAGTGGAATATACCGGGTGGTTTCCACTGTTCACTTTTTAAGGACCAAAATTACTGTCCATGAAACCTTATTTGAAGGTTCTCGAGTCTTTCTTCCTACACGCTAGGCGTGCAGCTACCTCTTTTTAATCTCAAATTTTATGGAGATACTTTAGGGTTCATGGTGTATATTCTAACAAAATTTGATTAAAAAATTGTATATACACATAAGCCTCCAAACGGACTTGGTTGGATGAGACTCCCTGTCAGTGAGAACTAATGACATAAGTTCTCACATAACATATGCGTAGTGATTCATCCAAAATCTTAAATCTATATATGTGTGTGTATGTCTTATGTATATCATACTAGTATATACGGATTGAGATCTAAGGTAGAGTACATTGCCAAAATACAAGACACGGATTAAAAATAGAGACCTCTAGATTTGTGCCCAAAATGGACCCACTCATCTTATCCATTGATTTTTTTAAGGTAGAGGAACTGGATCCAGTATATATGTAGTAGTATGGTATGAAGTTATGTTGCATGCACACGTCAGGGGCGGAGCCAGGATACTGGACCGGTATAAAAAATATTTTTAGAAAAAAAATTACACAAAATTTTTCTAGTCAAAATGTTGTAAAAGTTATACTGTTAGAATCGCATTTTCATAACGATCGAGCAGTATACCTTAGATCTTTCTTTTTGCTATTTTCATTCTCAAAGATCTCGACATATAGATCTCAATTTTAGCTCTACTACAGGTTCTGTTTAGCTTTTTGAGCTGAAATTTTCACAGGAGGATCTTGACATCCAAAAGTACAGGAAACAGCTTTCAGATCTTCAAAACTCTAATTTTTCTTTTTGAAGGATCTCGACTTTGAGGATATCGACTTTCGGAACTCGACATTTGGGTCTCGATATTTAGATCTCGACATCTAGATTTCGACTTTTGATATCTCGAAATCTAAAATCTCGAAGTATATATCTCGACATTTCAAATCTTGACATTTGAGATCTCGAGATCTAAACTCGACATTTGAAAATTCAAAACACAAATCTCGACATCTTAATCTCGAAATCCTTATATCGAAATCTTAAATCTCGAGGTTGATCTTCGATTTTCAGGATCTCGAGGTTTTGCCTTAGAAATTTTTTTCTGATCAAATCTCGAACGGGCAGTTTATAACAACAATGGCAACAAACTCATCAGCACTTGGTAACAGCAGCAATCCCCCAGTGCTGAGAAATGGGGAATATCAGATGTGGAAGACTCAATTTCTCAACTTTCTAGAGAATCGAGATAACTCTTCTGCACTGCTAGAATCCCTCACTCAAGGCCCTGCAGTACTGTGGATAACTATCCCAGGGAATGAGAACAATAATCCGCCAATTGAACAAGTCAGACGGATTAAAACTCCACTGAATATACAGCAGAGGACAAAGAGAGATTGAAGGCTGATCTCACTGTCAAAACATACCTGCTACAAGCCATTCCCAATGATATCTACATTATGATTGACAGTATGTAGACTGCGAAGGAAATGTGGGATGAAGTCGCAAAGCTGCTGCAGGGAACCTCCATTGGACTAAAGACTAAAAAGGCTAGTACTCTGACGGCCTATGACTCTTTTAAAGCCTTACCTGGCGAATCACTCATTTCAACCCACAAGAGATTCATCACTCTAATCAATGAACTCAGAAAGATAAAAATATTTAAATCCAATATGGAAATGAATATTAGATTTATGTCCGGTCTGAATCCTAAATGGAGAAATCATGTGAAAGATGCAAGAACCGGTCTAGAGCTTGATGAAGTGGACCTCTGTACCTTAAGAGACCATCTGAGGTCATTTGAAAGTGATGCTGCAGAACTAGAAGGACAGTATTCAACTGATCCGCTAGCTCTTGTAATGGAGGCACAACCAAAGAGGCCCGCAAAAGCCCTGAAGAAGAAAAAGAAGGTTATCTCTGAGTCAGAAGAAGAAGATAGCGATGATGAAATAGACTTTGAGCAAGAAATGGCAGAGTTGCAGAAGAAAATGGCACTCTTGACCAAGAAGTGGGGAAAGAAGAACAGCTCCTCAAATAAGCTGAGAACTTCCTCTTCTAACTACAAACAGAAGACCCATGATCAAAGCAGCTCTGGCAGAGCAGTTGCAACTGATGAATCTCCCAAATGCTATAATTGTGGAAAGTCTGGTCATCTTCAGAAGGACTGTCGTCTTCCCAAGAAAAAGGACGTCAACTTCTATAAACAGAAGATGATCTGGAACAAGCAAAAGATGTTGCTGGCTAAAAAGGAAGAGGAGAATACAACACCGCTTGCTGAGAATGATCATTGGGCTGAGGACTGATCTGATGATGAAGAAGAAGAGAACTATGCGCTGATGGCATTGTTGGAGGATGAAGAACAAGAAAAGGGTGATGTTGCGATCCCCGAAAGTGAGAGCTCGAACAGCACTGTAAGTACATCTGATTCTCAATGCTCTTGCTCTAATCAAAGTCAATCCTTACAAGATAAGGATGACTTAATTAATGACTTAAGGGAGAAGCTAGATAATAACTACCAAGAATTTGTTAGGTGTCTAGACCAGAAAGCCTCCTTAAGCATACAATTTGAAAATGAAAAGCAAGTTGCCAAAAAGGTGACACTCGAACTTGATGAGTTAACACTCAAGGTTATTGATCTGACTGATAAAGTGTTTCAAACTGAAATAGAGCTAAGTACAGAAAAAGCTGACAAAAATGTTCTTGAAAATCAAAGAAATACTCTCTTTAGCAAAATTAAAGAACTTGAGGATTTAATTGGTACAAGAGGTCAATCAGAACAAACTATCTTCTTAAATCAAATTAGTGATGACCGGTACTATAATCCCAGATCCGGGCATGGCATATCTAATCCATGCTATCTAAAGAAAGTTGATTGCATTCAGCTTTATGACTTTGATCACATGAGACTAGGATATGGTCAGAAAATGTATTATACCGGTGAAAAAGAAAACGCTGAAGAAGAAGAAGAAAAGAGAAAGAACCCAAAAGCTGAAACTTCTTTCAATTATTCTGCTCTAAATGAAAAAAGCCTTACAGGCGAAGGACAAAAATGTGATATTAATGAGTGTGTGAATCCTCATGCTACTGTGAAGATGTTCCACACCTTGGACATCCTTTAGACCCCCCTCCAACAATCGGGATTTCTAAATTTGGAAAGGAACCTTGTATCTTTCCAATGGCCCAAAAGCTCAAAGATCTTTAGAAAACCTTAGAAAATGAGAGAGAAAGGTTTGAATCAGAGAAGAAAGGTTTTGAGACTAACTGGGAAACGCTCTTAAATGAATTTAACCAACTGAGCGTTAAGTACCACTCTAAAACAACTTCCCAATCCACTTCTAGTACAGAGCACAAGGAAACTCACATCTCTCCTAACCAAACTAATTTTTCAAAAGAAACGTCCACTCATGCCTCTTCTCTTTTATCCACAGGAAAAGAAGTGAACAAGAGATGGAAGAAGAAGGAAGAGTGGAGGCTGAAAAGGAAAGAAATTGCTGAAGGAAAGAAGAAAGTTTTTGAAGAAAAGAAGACTAATTTTTTCTCAAGTTCCATTTTTTATTCAAAGAAAAATCGTAGCTCTACATCAATCAAACATTCTGTCAGTAATTCAGCCTTGAGTCCCAAGATTAAAAATTTTGTGTTATCTTTTGAACAATCACCTTCTTATAATTCAACTACTGCTTATGGCTATTCTGCTCCAGACCCCCATAATTATGAATGTGAGTTGAATGTTGTTAAGGTGCAACCTCGGAGAGAGGTCAAACAAACAAAAGAGAATGAGAGTAGAACCTTTGAGGGAGTTTATTGTCTTCCAAATCTAAAGTATCCCCTCAAGGTTAACTCTAAGAAGCATTTAAACAGGCTCTCGAAAGAGAAATTTTTTAAGTCTCAACACTAAACAACCATTCAACCACAACGCCAAAATCTACACTTCTCCCAACACCAAGCAAAAGTGGGTCCCCAAAAACAGACCTACCAAAACTGAAGATGCTAAGTGGCTCCCCAAAAACAGACCCACTAAAACTGAAACTGCAAAGTGGGTCCCCAAGAATGGTCCTACTAAACCTGAAACTGCTAGGTGGGTCCCCAAAAACGGACTCACTAAAACTGAAACTGCAAAGCGGGTTCCCAAGGCAACCCCTTATGCAAAATCAGAACTGGCTAATACAGAGCCCACAAAAGAAAAATCTTTTGGTGAGAAAGCTGCTAACTTTGGATAACAGCTAAAAGCAAAATTCAAAAAGGTGTTTGCTGTTGATAAGGAAGGACTCATTCCAAGATGGGGACCTAAATCTGCTTAACTGTTTTGCAGGGCGGTCATGTGTGGCACTTAGACTCTGGATGCTCAACCCACATGACCGGAATCAAACACCTGCTGAGCAACTTCACCAACTGCTTTGGAGGAAATGTCAGATTCGGCAATGACGCCTCATCTCCAATCCTTGGGTATGGGGACGTCATCTGTGCCAGCGTCACCATAAAGGCCGTCTCTTATGTCAAAGGGCTCAAACATAACTTACTGAGCATAGGACAATTTTGTGATAGTGGGATGGAAGTGAGGTTCTTTGCCAAACAATGTTATGTGTTGGACAGCTTTGAGAACTCATTATTAACGTGTAACAGGACATCAAACCTGTACACGATTGATCTGAAAAGTGTACAATCCACCACTTCTATCTGTCTGCTGTCCAGAGCCTGAACAGAACTGAACAGTCTATGGAACCGACGCCTTTCCCACCTAAACTTCAAGAACATCTCAATTTTATCTTCCAAGAAACTTGTGAAGGGGCTTCCTCTGCTAAA